GGGAATTTCGAAGACCCATTTGGAAAAGAGAGTAGAAAATAGTGAGAGAGATAGTCCAGAATAACACTGTAATTCTCCAATTTGGAGTCCTAATCGTCGTTGTCGCCATTTCTACTTTTGTTTCATTTCTTCATATTCCCATGGCAAAATCTAAATCCATTACTGTCGCCATTGTCAAGCTATGCTCGGCGTGATTTTTTTTCTTCTCTAGTTCTAATTTTGCAACTCAATTTCACATATTTTCTTTTCTATTTTTTTTTAATAAGAATTTTACATAAAAAGTAATGTAATTTACACAAATTTCATTTTTGTCTTGTAATTAAACAAATTAATTTGGTTCCATGTGAACATAAGTTTGAATGAATTTTTTGTGGAAAATGAAATTGAGTTGCAAAATTTAATTATCACATTCATTTTTCTCTATATGGCTATATGAATTGTTTGAAGACACAAAAAATAGATTGGCAAAATGAAAAATATAATTTTTAATTACAAGTTACAAATCAAAAATTATAACATTTGCAACAAAAATATTCGATATATGTAAATATATTATAAGCAAACAGAAAATGCAAAAAGTGTGAAGAAGTTTCAAAGGGAACCAAAAGCACCGCATTTTCATGCACATATCAAAGTTGTGTTTGTTTCTCTAAACAATTCGTAACCAAATATCCTAACTATATAGTACAACTCTGAGATAATAAAATCATAAATAATATCAAGAAAAGCTTATTTAGCTGTTATAGTCCATCAAACTTGTATATTTTCTTGCACTCATCAAAGCAAAAATGGTTCTATATCTAGTTTCTGCAATCACCATCATCATCGCAACCATCATGCTTTATCAACGGTGGTGGAGATCCAACATTCCCCCGGGACCAAAGCCACATTTTCTGCTAGGAAATCTTCATCAACTGAAACCACATTGGACCCATTGTTTCACAGAGTGGTCACAGACTTATGGTCCCATAATCTCTGTCTGGATAGGGTCACAACTCACTATCGTGGTCTCGACCTCTGATTTAGCCAAACAAGTGTTGAGAGACAAAGACCATCAGTTGTCTAATCGACACAGGATCGTGAGGATGACTCAGTCCGGTAACGATCTTGTTTGGTCTGATTACAGTCCACATTATGTTAAACTTAGGAAGCTTTGTACACTCGAGCTTTTCTCTTTGAAGAGTATTGAGAATTTCAGATCGTTGAGAGAAATGGAAGTAAGGTCGATGATTATGTCGATTTTGAAAGACTTGAAGAGCGATGATCAGACGCGAAAACCGTTGGTTGTGAGGAAGTATCTTGGTGCGGTTGTATTGAACACAATCTCAAAATTATTGATTGGGAAAGAGTTTGAGTTTGAGCAAGGTAAAGATTTTAAATCGATTGTCGAAAAAGAACATCTTCTTAGCGGCTCAGGGACGGTGCTCGATCACATCTGGTGGCTTAAATGGGTTTCGTCGTGGATCATTAGCGATAAAGAGTTCTTGGCGCACAAGGAGCAAAGAACAAAGTGGTTTAGAAGAGCTATAATGGAGGAAGAAGATGTAGCAGTAGATGATCACGAAGGTTTTGTTCGGAAACTATTAGTGTTGAAAGAGAAAAAAGAGATGAGTGAAGAGACGGTTCACGGTTTAATCTGGAACATGTTAACCGCGGGAGCTGACACAACCGCGGTTGTTATCGAATGGGCAATGGCAGAGATGATCAAATGTCCGATCGTGCAAGAAATGGTGCAACAAGAGCTTGATTCAGTGGTTGGATCCGAACGGCTAATGACTGAATCAGATATACCAAAACTACCATACCTACAATGCGTGGTTAAAGAAGCTCTTAGACTTCACCCTTCAACACCAATAATGCTTCCACATAAAGCAAGTGAAACGGTTTGGATAGGTGGGTACAAGGTTCCTAAGGGAGCTACGGTTTACGTACACGTGCAGGATATAGGGAGAGACCCTGCAAACTGGATAAACCCGGAAGAGTTTAGACCAGAGAGGTTTCTTCTTGAGGAAATTGATGTTAAAGGTCGAGACTTTAGAGTTTTACCGTTTGGTTCGGGAAGACGAGTGTGTCCAGCTGCACAACTTAGCATGAATTTGATGACATTGGTGATGGGAAATTTGTTGCAATGCTTCTCATGGAGTTCTCCTATTCCTGGGGAGAGAATTGACATGAGTGAGAATCCTGGATTACTTTGTGGCATGAGGACTCCATTGCAAGCTCTAGCTTCACCAAGACCTGCCACAAGAGTTATTACAACTTTAACTTTGGAT